TGAGGGTTCCCCACGCTCCGCACAGGCGGCGACGCGGCGCGCTCGGCTCCAGCCGCAGCTCTGAGCGCGCAGGGCGGCGGGAGAAGGCGGAGGGAGGGTGGGAGGGGGAGGAGGAGGAGGAGCAGCGGGCGGGTGGGGGCCGCGGGGCTCCGGAGCCACGCGCCGGGGCGCGCCCTTCTGGTTCTCCAGCACGCGCAGGGGCAGCCTCCCTGCTTGGCCCAGCGCTGCCTCTGGAGAGCATGGCCAAGTGGGGGAAGCCGAGTTGGAAACCGGGGACCCTGGCTCCAGGAGCTAGGCAAGCAACTGGGCAGCGGGCTACTGCTGCCTCTCCAGGAGCCCCGCCCTCCGGGCCGGCCACCCCAACAGTGCAGCAGGGCTGGTAGAAGGGAGGAGGGACCACGAGGAATGGTGGTGACCCAGGACACAGGGACGCTGCACACAGGTGGACCTCCAGAGGCAGCCACACGGGGACATAGTCCACAGATGCGCATGCAGCTCTTTCCCACTCTGGCTTCCAGAGAGACAGCCCAGGCCTGGTAGAGTCTGGGAAAGGAAAGATCTAGAAAGTCACTGATTGATTCTTTCTTTCCTTGGATTGAGTGGGCCCTGGGCTGTCTCCTGGGTGCTGGGCCTGGGCTGGGCACTCGGGACACAGTGGACAAGAGTTCCTGTGGCTTTAGCTACAGAGCACACATGCAGACAGGGAAGGGCCAGGGAGGGCTCTGGAGGGAGGTTCAGAGAAGGCTCTTTAGAGGAGGGACGTTTGGGACATGAAATGACTGAGGACCCAGGCTTGAGGACGGTCATCCTCCCACTGGAGGCAGTGGCTTCCAAAGACAAGCTGGCATGGTCCGTGGGGCACTGACATGCTCACGGGGATGTACACTCAATCACACCATCCTTCACTGCGGCACTCACGATTGGACTCATGCGCAGTCCCACACACTGGCCTGGTGACACCCTCCCCATCACACGACAGTCACCTAGAGATGCTCACACAGTCGCACTCACCGGTGAAGACAGCAGGCCAGGTTCTTCTCACACTGCCACCTCCACTCCTGGCGTGCAGACGCGTGCACACGCTCCCCTAGGGTCCCCTCAAACAGGACGTTTTCTCTGTGTTTTCATTCTGTGAAAACTCAGCTGCCACCCTGGGGGCAAGGAGAGGGCCCTGTCCATCCACCAGGAGTGGCAGAGTCAGGAGCAGGGGTAGCCAGGCCACCCTGATGGATGGGCATGCGGCCTTGCCAGCTGCCAGGACAGGACACTCCCAACAGAGGCTGTAAGGGAAGGGGGCCATGCCTCTGCCCCTACAGCTAAATGGAAGAGCCCAAAGGGCTCGCCTTGGAGCCCCCTTTCCATATCTTTGGCAGGGGCCCCTCCTATCGGAGAGAGAGGAGCAGGCGACACCCTCCTCTCTTTCCCAGGTCAGGTCCCCACAGGACTGGCTCTGCCAAAGAGGCCAGCTGAGTGGCCTTCGGAGGAGCAAAGGGGCAGAGCCATGACCATCTCATGAAACTCCGCAGCCTTTAGCAAATAGGGATTCCAGAAAAGCTCATGAGCCAGGGACAGGACGGTCCCTCCCTGGTGTTCAAGGTAACAGCCACCAGCTTGGGGCTCTGGGTCTGCAAGGGAGGGGCTGGGCCTGTGGAAGAAAGGATCTAGCGACAACTAGCCAGCTCTGCCAGCTCAGCAGTGCCCGTGTGCCTGGCCAACCTTTCACGGGTCCTCTAGGCACAGATTTGCCAGAAAGTTCTTTCTTACCTCAAGCTCTGTTCTCTGCACTCTCAGAAGGGCTCCCGGGGAGCTCTGGTGGCCTGGTGGTAAGGAGCTGCAACTACAATCCCAGAGGCGCATGGTTTGAATCCACCAGATGCTCTGCCGGGGAAGGAGGGACAATCTCCTCCTGTACCAGTCAGATCTGATTTGACGGTACACGCACACAAAAATAATAAAATAAAATAAAAAAAGAAGGGCTCCCATATCTACCCTCTCTGCCAGGTACTCAGCTCTGTCACCTTCTGCAGGGTCCCTGCACTCGCACCTCTCCTCCCTGTACCTCCAGTGCCAGGCCCCCCTCATTCCCCTTTGACATCTCAGTCACAGCCTAGTGCTAGAGGGAGTCAACTCCTCCAAAGGCCCCCCCAGCTCCCCTTTCCCTGGATGAGGTCCTGGATGTCCCTGTGCCCGTGGATCAGAAAAAGGGGTGAAGTCATGTGGAGAATCCCTGAGAGAACTGAACAGAGCAAAAGGTGCTATGCCCATAAGACAAGGATTGCCCAGGGCCTCCTGAAACTAGGAGTCAGTTTGACACAGTATATCCGGCCACCCTATGAACAGACCAACCTGCTTGATGCCTTGAATTCGGACTTCTGGAGTCCAAATTTCTGTTATCCAGTACCCACTTGTGGTTCTTTGTTCCAGCAGCACCACACTTAGCTGCACACCTTTTCCCAGCTTCTCTGCCCCCCTGGATCCTGCTGGCCCAAGGCTGCCCCCCGCCCCAGCACTCAGGGACCACTTTGGTCAGCTCACTAAGGACAATGGCCCCAACCTCCTGGCCACTGTCACTCTCTACCATCACTGCCACTGCAGGTCCTTCCAAGGGTGAGCCTTGTCCCAGATGCCCCCACCCCCATCTGCCCCCAAAGCCTGTGGATGCCTGGCCCAGTGCCCACCGACAAGCCCTAACTCGTTTAAATCCGAGCAAGTCTTTGGCTTAGATTCCAGCCGGGCCCCCAGCCCAGCCCCACGGTCCTCCAGGGCCTCCCTCAGCAATCAGTCCCGTGACAGTCACCGCCATGTGTGCTGACAGCTGCTCCTTGCCCAGCTCCCGCATCCACTGAGGTACACTTGGCCTGTGGCCCCTCCCGAGTCTGCGCCCCTCCACAGTGGACCTAGCTGAGGGGCTCCCCTTCATTTTACCCTTACATCGTGCCTGTCCCCAGGTCCAGAGACACCTCCGTTCACAGCATTTGGGGCCAAAGCGTGCCTCGCACTTTATCAACTCTTCCTCAGTCCTGGGGACAGACCCAACTGTCCCTTCAGACCTGCAGAGGCCCTCGCGCTGCGCCATTCCCTGAGCCCAGCTGAGGAGTGTCCTAGGGGGAGAGGAACAGGGACAGAAAGGAGGCAGACGGCCAAGTGCAAGGCGCCCCCAGACCCGGAAGAGATCAGAGAAGACACCTCCTAGAGCCTCCGGAAAACACTCTCCATGGCCTTCCCAAGGGACCGCCCAGAGCTCTCAGGATGAGGCCTGAACGCCACCCTCCCGAGTCCCCTGGGCCGTAACCTTGGACTTTATGTGTAGTTTGCTAAAGCTTAGTCAGTCACAACTTCCATCCTTCCAGCATATTCTCAGCGGCTGCTTGGTGCTCTCAGAATGGCACGTACCCTTGGACTTGTCTTTGACTCTCAAGCTTTGCACCCTGGGGCCCCTTTCCCCACCCCCTCCTGCAGTTCCTCTCGTCTGAGAGGGGACCCCTTGGAGACACCTTCCCTAGTGCCTAGGGGCCTGGGGGCCTTCTCTGCTCTACCAGCATCATAGCACCTGTCCCTCTAATTGTCACTGCTGAGAGCAGGTACAGACTCACTGCCATCACAGAATCCCCATGTGAAGCGAAGGCGGCCAGAAAAAAAGCAGGTAGATTCACTGGGGGACGAGCTGCTGGGAGAGCTGGAGGAGGAGCAGCGAAGGAGCTGTGCACCCATCCACTCCGGTCTGTCCAGCGCGCGCTGCCCCCTCCTCCTGGCCAGTGGGAACTTGACCAGGGCCCCGAGTGCTGGCCTGTGGCCAGCGCCCTTGCTCGGTGCCTGCCCAGCTCAGCAGGGATTGCCAGGCGGGAAGCACAGGGCCCAGAATAGTGCTATGATGTTGACAGTGATATTCTATCACGGAGCTGCCACGCATCCCAAAAAGGAGAACCCCAGGGCTGCCAGGTGATGAGTGCCAGGTGGGCAGAAGGGCACAGGTGGTGAATCTCGGGCTTTGCCATACGGAAGGCCTGGTCTGGGGACTGGCCTCCAGTCCCATCCTGAGCCCCTGTCAGCAGGACCCTCCTGGCTCATAGCTGGAGGTGACATCGACTGGAATCCCAAACTCCGCCTATCTTGGGTTTCTGAGAGAGCAGGTGTCCCCTCATGTGTGGGCGTGCCCTCGAGCCCATGCTCACGACTGATCCAAGCCCAGAAGTGGGGGGAGGGCTGCCTAAGACCCCAGGATGAGTCAGCAGCCTGTGGATTGGGGTGAGGAGGCCAGGGCTAAGGCCAGGGAAGGAGGGATAAGGAAGCTGAGGCCTCCGCCACAGGCTTGGTCCCCAGTCTTCTGGGAACAGCACTACACAGAGCCATATTGCACAGTGTTTTTTAATGGAAAAACCACCATATCCCTCACAGGCAGCCCACCCTGATGCTGGGCGCAGAGAGGGGACAACATGGAAAGACAGCAATAGGGGTGAGGCCTGACTGGGCTTCCTGCTCCCAGCAGAAGGCAGGCACCTCTGGGACAATCTGGACAGGCCTGGCCAAGGTACCTGCCTGGTAGGGCCCTGTCTAAGGCCTGGCCGGAAAGAGCAAGGGGATGTAGGACTAAGAGTCAGGCCAGAGGGACAGGCTTGGTGGGTGGGGGGGTCACGAGAGAGCTGGTTGCCAGGAAGGAGGAATGAATCGGGTACAGAGAGACAAGGAAGTCGCTCATGAGAGAGAGATACAGGGACATAAGTGGCATGGGGCCAGAGGCCAGGGGCACAAGCTGGCTTTGAATTTACCATTGTGGGGCAGGGCCCGCTGGGAGGACGGAAGGTGGAGAGGCCAGAGGGAGTGGGCATTCCAGGGAGAGTGGGATGAAGCTGCTCAGGGCACCTCTGTTTAGCCTGTGTGCAGGATGAGGGGAACTGGCAGGATGCCCCTGTATCACTCCCTTTGGGACCCGCAGTAAGTGGGCTGGGCTGGAACCTCAAGCATGGGCACCGAAGTGGGCATGGGATACACTGCTGCCCCTTCTACTTCTTGTAGTTGCCAAACTGGATGGCCAGGCGGTCGGTGACACAGCGGAAGGTGGCCGGCTGCACCTCCCAGTAGGGCACGGGGTTGTTGAAGAGGCTGATCCCATTGTAGTAGGCCCGCTTGACCCCAAAGCCGATGGGGCAGAAATCGTTGACTCCCACCTTGGTGATGTTGTTGGAGTGCAGGTAGACCACCTAGAGGGCAGCAAAGCCAAGACCGAAGCTGGCTCCCAGGGTGCAGGAACTCAGATCACTGCCCTGGGCAGTCTCCTCCCTGCCCTGCGTGGGGCCCTCTGGCCACCCACAGCCAGAGAAAGTAACGGGTAGGGGTGGGTTAGGGGCCAGATGAGGGGCTGGAGGGAGGTGGGTGTGAGGGGAGCTTCTGGTAGAGTGAGGCTGGAGGAAGGGGGTCCAGATGCTCTGAGGGAACAACGTGGGCACTGGGGGCCGGTTAGAAGCTCAAATAGCACTGGGACGTCTCCGCGCCTTCTGGAGGACCGCGAAGACACCAGCCACTAGAGGGCGCACCTAGCCTGGTCTGGGCAGCACTATGGCCCTGGCAGGACAAGTTAGAAACGGGGCATCGAACAAATTACTGCTTGGCTCTGGGCACGTCTGAGTTGGGCTGAGGCACAGGCTGAGCCCACAGCCGACATGCCTTCACCCCCTCCCAGGCCGGCTTCTAGCTTCTGACGCCAGGCGGTCTCTGTCTCAGGAGGGGATCTATGATCTGCTACACCTCTGCCTTTGCCCCAGTGCCTATAAGGAAGATGTCTGCTAGTCCTTTACAACCAGACAATGTGCCCGGCTATGGGCAGGGTGGGAAAGAGAGGCGCTAGCCAGGTATGTGTCCCTCCAGGGGCAGGGAGGGGAGAAGGGGGAGCCGCCTCAGCCCGAGGGACCTCACCTGCAGGAGTTTGAGGTCAGGCAGCCCCGCGGGCACACGGGACAGTTTGTTATTGTCCAGGTGCAGCTCCCTTAGGGTGGGCAGGAAACTCAGGCTTCCGTTCTCGATCATCCGGATCTGATTGTGGCCCAGGCCCAGCCTGCGCAAGGAATGGAGGGTGAGGTCACTCCAGGGGCAGGTGGGGAGGCGGGTGAGATGGCCGCAGGCTGTGACCGGCTGGGACGCTCTTACCTGTATAACTTGGAGTAGCGCAGCAAGTCTTCCAGCTCAATGGCCTGGATCTTGTTGTGGTCCAGGTGGAGTTCGTTCAGGGTCTCGGGGAGGTCTGGCCAGGAAATGGGGTGCACTCAGTTGAGGGTTGGTGAGGGGAGGAGACCAGAAGCTTGTGCGCCTGGAGGGGAAGAACTGCCCCTACCTTTGGGGATGCCGGTGAGCTTGGATTCTGAGATGCGCAGGTAGTTGAGTTTCAAGCCGTCAAAGGCTCCGGGTTCAAAACCACTGTTCTCCAGGGGGTTCCCGCCCATTTCTAGGAAAGGGTCCATGTCAATAGGAGCTGGGTACCTCCCCTGGTCTCCTCCAATAAGCTAGACCCCAGGGCACCACCTCCTTGGGAGACCCTCCTGCGAGCTACCCCAAATCTGACTTTCAGCCTTCTGACTAGTGAGACAGTGACTGCTTCTAAGACAGCTCACGTGGGGAATTTCTGTCCCACAGCCCCGAGGAGATAAGACATTTGGCCTTGGCTCACCGATGCAGTTCACATGCCGGAGTCCGCTGAACACACCCTTGGGCACCTTGCGGATGCGGTTGTCATGGATACGGAGCTCCACCAGGGAGCTGGGCAGGTTGGGTGGGATCTCCACCAGGTTGTTCTTGGAGATGTAGAGTTTCTGCAGCTTCCGGAGGGGGCTGAAGGCCTTCTCGTGGATGTTGGTGATCTTGTTGTTCACCAGGACGAGTGCCTGAGGCCAGGCCGAAGCAAGCTCAGTGAAGGCAACGGCGCCTTAGCCCCCTTCTCTCCCTTCCTCCCTCACCCGAGCTGCTTGCAGTTGGACTTCCTGGATGACCAGCCCCAACTTGGGCTGAGCTCCGGCTCTGATACCGACAGCTAACACGGACTGTCACTTTCGTGGGCCTCATTTCCCCACATGTACACACAGGCCACAGTGCAACCTGCATAGCTGCAGGGTCCTGACTTTGCCCGCTCAGATCCAGGCTCCTCCAGGATTCCAGGGTCTTTGAGTCCCTCCCGTGTGCCACATGCTCCTCCACCCCCGCCCCGTTCTGGAAGGTTCTGGAGCTAGCCTTACGTAGAGGTGCTGGAGGCCCTTGAAGTCATCCTTGCGGAGCTCAGAGATGTGATTGTTCTGCAGGTCCAGCAGGGTGGTATCGGGCGAGATCTCCTTGGGCACAGTCTTCAGACCTGGGGGTTGGCAGGCACCATCGTCACCAGAGTGAGCCACCACACATTTGACCTCAGAGAAGCTTGGGTGTCCACCAGGTGGGAGGTGTCCACTCAGACGGGACTCTGCCACGAGGGGGAGGAAGCCCAGGGCATGCAGAAGCAGCTTGTCACCAGCCGGCCACACACGAACATCACACTCATCCCTGACCCACCCAAGGTCCCTGCGCTCAGTCCCCCGCTGGGACTGACCCAAGTCAGAGCACTGAACAACACGAAGGTGACAATGGCAGCCGAAAGGACACATGGCACTGAAGGTGGGGGTGAGGGAGTCCAGGTCCGGGGCTCCGGATGTGGTGCCGGCGCCCGAGGCCTCCTCGTCGTTCATCAGTTGCAGACTGTCGTCCAGGGTGAAGTCCCAGAAGCCTCTCTGCTCAAAGGGCAAGGCCTGGCTCAGGGCCAGCAGGGCCATGAGAGGCCACAGGGCCTGCATGGTTGAGTACCTGGGCTGAGGAAGGGTGAAGGGACATCAGGATGGGCACTCAGCAGCCTTGCCCCCTGTACTGTCCCCTAACACAGGACGCTGGTGATCTGGAGCTTGGCTCCTGCCCCTCCCCACCCAGGGCCAGCCAGACCCCAGCTGTGGGCAGGGAGCAAGTATGGTGAGTGGAGGCACAGTGGAGCAGGATGGAGCTATGATGGAAATGCACCCTCCCAACCCCTCTCAGCTGCACCCCTAATCCAACTAGCTCCCAGCACTGGAGGACACTCAGGGGATTGTGCTGCGAGGGAAAGGGTATGCTCAGAGGCATGGAGGTCACAAAGCGAGGGGCCCAGGCTGCCCCTTGTGTCTGCCCCCACCTGTCTTCATGGTCATGGGCCCTGGAGAGACCACCCACTCCTGGGGAGCCAGCTGCTGCCAGGGCAGTGGGCAGGGCCAGGCTTGTCTGAAGGCAGCTGGAGGAGGACCTGTCCTGCTCGAGCCTGAGCCCAGCACCCCGAGCAAGGGGCCCACTTCCCGCCTTCTCCATCGGCAGGCACCCTCTCCGGAATCTAGCCTGCCTGCACAGAGAAAGTCTGGGGAAGGGGCGCGCAGGCCTGTTTCCTTGGGGAAGGTCCAGCCTTAGGTGAGTTTCAGGTTTTTCATCCCTTAAATGGGAACAAACATGTCTGCTAGCAGGGCCGTCCACCCCAGGGTGGCCCTCGAGGTGGGGGTTGTGGGTGGGTGCTTCTCCAGACTGCTGGCGGCTACAAAGGTGCCAGGAGGTCTGGGAACAGTGAGGCCTCTGTCCTCCCAGGCAGGACCCTTCCTTCTGAGAGCTTCTTCCCCACACACACCTCGTGCCCGTGAGGCAGCACCATGAGGGCTGAGGCTGGACCAGTGCCCGGAGTTGTCCCTACTAGTACGCCAGAGGGACCGAAGGCCAGGAAGGAGAACCTGTCCTGTGTCCCCACCCCTTCTCCGCCTCAGAGAGGCTGCCTGCCCCACTCCAGGCTGCACAGCAAAGCAAGGCTCATCAATCAAGCTGGACTCCTCACTGACTAGACACTTGATGGATGAGCCCTGGATGGTCCCATGCCAGGAGAGCAGCCAGCCACCCCCTAGATGCCACCTGGTCACAGCCCCAAGCTGGACCCACCCAGAGAGAGCAGAGGAAGGGCCACTCCCGCCTACCTGGACAGCCGCTGCCTCGTCTGCAGCCTCTGGGGCCAAGCTGGGCAGTATGCGGGGACCCTGCCCAGGCTTCTGGCTGGCCTCAGGACACACGGGAGTGGGCAGAGGAGACGAGGCAAGAGACGGCAAGGAATGCAGAGGGAGGAGACTGCTCCCACCCCAGCCCCTGCCAAAGACGGTACCTCACAGAGAGGATGAGTCAGACCTTGGAAGGTTCTGGGCCTTGGACAGGTGGGAGGGGGGAGATGGTGGTCTACCTGGGCCCAGGGCAGGCTGTGGGGCTAGACAAGACCCAGCTGTAACCTCCCTGGCCTCGTTGGAGACACACAGCCCTCTCTTGGCCTGGGCATAGGAGAAAGTAACCAGGACCCCTCCAGGACCATCTGTCTACAGCAGCCCCCACACAGACCCTTCAAGGTTTTCACCTTGACTCCCAGGTCTTCAGGCCTCCCCTATAAGTGATGTGGGAAAGGTGGCCAACCTGGGGGGCGTCCCGCCCCCTCCCTGGGGGAGCAGCCAGGCTGGGGGCCCTGAAGTGACTAGGGTGGATTTCTGGGCAAGGACTGGGCCTCAGATTCTGGCCCAGGGGCCCTCTGTAAGGAGGGAGATCGAGTGGGCGATGGCAGGGCAAAAGGGGTGGTGGGACAGGGATTAGGCTTCTCTAGGCCATGCGCGGGGGGGCCTTTGAAGGGAAGCCCATTCTGTCCTCATTCTATGGAACAGAAAACTGACTCTCAGACCTGAGCCTCTGGCCAAGCACTTCCCAGCCCTCACCAGTCTGCCTCCTCTTGCTCCTGGTCTGCTCCTGATAGGGCCGTGCCTGGGAGCCCAGGTAGGAGTCCTGATGCATATGGGCCCAGCTGCCCTCCATGGCAGAGGCCCTACTGGGGGTGCGCTCTGCCTCCTCACCCTCATTGAGCGCACACTGAGGCCTGCAGGCAGCCCAGGAGCCAGGCGATGTCGCCACCAACATGTGCCAGAGCAAAGGAGGGGGTGGCAGATGGTGAGGGGTGACCCCAGGGGTGTGGATGAGGCCTTCGGCGCTGAGCACACATGGCCCCTTGTCTGCCCCCAGTGTCAGAGCAGCCCCTCGAGGGCTCTCTCCAGGCCATCCCGGGCGGCCTCCCTGGCAGCCTCTTCTAACATAGTGGGGCCCTGCCAGCCATTCAGGCCCAGCCAAGGATGACCAGCGCTGGGCCGAGGGCTGGTGGGGCTGGCGGGCTGGGAAGCCAACACAACGCTGCAGACGCCAGGCAGGCGGGGGCCCCACTGAGCGACCCGGCCTGAACTCTGACATGCGTGCCACCTCTCCTTTAGCCTTGCTGGCCCCCACCTCCCACTCCTCAGTCACTAAAGCGTTGGGATTCCTTCAAGCCAGGCCACAGGCAGGGTGCTGCCTGACGCTCTCCGGGCCACTGGATGCTCTGCCCCTGCTAATTCTTGTCTGCCTATGTTGCTCTCCAATGCCTCAGCCTATCAGTGCCCCGCACACACAGCCTAGCCTTCATCTGGGGAGCAATTAAAAATAAGGGATGTGGGCAGCCCATGGAGGTGTGGCTGCCAGTGTGTGACTGCACGTGTGTGTACACACCCAGAGGTGCGAGTGACCATGTGAGGTTGGCTGGAGTGAGAGGGGGGCCCAGCAGCAGCCTGAATCCGCCACAATTGCTCTGTTATGTCCTCTGGCTACAAGGGGGACAGAAGTCCAAGTATGGCTGAAAAGGATAATTCTTTCTCTCCATGGCTCCAAGATACTGGGTGACCAGGCCAAGCTGGTCCCTGCCTGCAGGTGACAATCTGGACTTGAGTTTCAGCCACTGCAGGAAGTCAGTCAGCTGGCTGCAGAGGGCTGGAGGCACAGGAGAGGTGGGTCACCCAGGGACACTCTTTTTCGTCCCTGCTCGCTGTGTTCAGAACACCAAATGCTGGTGAGGGCAGGGCCACCTGGGGGTGCTGGTCCTTTCACATCAGGCTCTGGTCTGCCTTTCCTCCTCCCACTGTGGATATATCCTGAGCTCCGACTCTAGGTCATGCACTAGAAAATCCGAGGAATCCAGAAGATGCCATCTCTTAGGGACAGGACAGGGCACTCCTTCCCAATGACCAGGAGCAGAAGACGTGTCATTCCTGCTCAAGGAAATGGTGGGGCTGGAATTCTGCTGTCCATCTGTCCACAGAGCCAGTGTGGCTTGGCTGCACAAGGGGTCCCTGGAGAATATCAGACTGGGGTGCTGCTGGGTAGGTCGGTCTCTAGAAACCGTCGGTGGCTCCCCGCTGCCTGCACGGTTGACACCTACCCTCAGCCCCAGTCTTCCCAGCGAGCTGGGCTGCCTCCCCTGGGTGTGCAGCTGAGTGTCCAGGGCCAGCCTCGGGAAGGCCACCTGGGAAAGCCATCATCTCCCGAGGCCCAGCAGGTTGACGGCCAGACCCCACAGGGTGCTGGCCCAGAGCCCGAGGCCAGCCACCTCGCTCTCAGGCCCTCTCCAGAAGACAAGAAGCCTCTCCCCGGCCCTAGTGGCGCTCCTCCAAGCCCCAGGCCCCCAGTGACAGGGTGTTCTTCTGCTGCCTGACGACGAGAGAATAGCCCTGCCCCTGTGTCAGGAGAAGCCAGCCTTTTGTCGCCTCAGCTTGCAGGATCCCTGCTCTGCTCAGCCAGGACACCACCAGACACTATGTAGGCTTTGGGGGTGGGGGGCCAGCGTCTGGCAGGGGAGAATGAGGGTGAGTTCAGAGACTGTCAGACATGGTGGAGCCTGGACTCGGCCCCATACCTAACCGTGGAACCTAGAATGTTCTGATCTGGCTAGGGGCCCAATCCCTCATGCTCCCGCTCAGCCCCAGGCTGTCTCATCACCAGTTTCAGGCATGGGGTTGCATGGGGCACAGTGCCATTAGCCGCTCTGCACCCCCCACTGCAGCCTAGCAGGTGGAAAAGTGAGAGGAAAGTGGCCTCCACAGCCACCTCAGGGGCTAGCAGCCCAGAGCCCAGAGGGGTGAGACAGGGAGTCCAGGTGGCCCAGAGGCCAGTGGGATCTTCCCAAGTGGAGATGGCCACTTCTAGAAGGCTGAGGAAGCGCCCACCCTCCCCGGCTCCTCCAGGCCCCCTTTGCTGAAAGGGCTCTGTGGGTGGTCAAGGGGTGGGCTCTGCTCTCCTGACCAGGTGTCCAGGCGGAAGAGGAGGGGATGGCTGCCGAGGCCTGGTTGATGGGACTGGGCCATGGGGACTCGAGTGTGCCCACAGGGAGCTGCCTGCAGGGGAAGCTGCCCGCAGGGGGAGTCACCAGCGATCAACCAGCTCTTGTATGAGCTGAGTCTGAAACCAGACCAGGCCTTTAGACACTGAGGACACCAGCGGAACCATTCAGAATTGGGAGGTCTGCGGGGGAGGGGGGGGAGCCAAGCGCGACAGAAAGCAAGCCCTCACTGGTTGTGGGGGACCGGCCCTTTCTGCCCCTTGGGTCAGGGTTGGGAGCGTGTGTAGGACCAGGGCCCAGTAAGAGCTAAGGGGCTCAGGAGGGTGGGAGTAGAGTGTGCACAGACTGGGGGCCTGGTCTGGGGAAGAGGGAACACCACCCTCAAGTCACTCGCGTCCCAGAGCCAGGACAAGGGGCTCACCAATCCCTGCTCCAGGGGTCCTGTCCACATGCCTGCACCAAGCAGAGCAGAGGTGGGTGGGGTGTGGGGAGCACCTGGACTGAGACGCTGACACTGTCGGGAGGGATGTGTAGTCTCTCTGGGGGAGTCTGGAATGTCCCTCGAGAAAGTAAATCCTCTCTGGCTTTCAAACCACCTCGTTTCCCTCCTGCCTTCCATTCTCC